ACAAAAATCAAGACAGAGAGAAAATAGGAAGAAAGTTTACATGAAACCCAATGCTTGAAGCAAGAACCACCACACTTGCTATTAATAGAAGTGATTCATAACTTGGGCAGTGGGCCAGCTGATACAACATTTTAAAGTGTTACAAATTACAAAGAAAGTTGTATTCAGTGACATTGCAATGCTAAAAAAAAGTGAACCCCAGAAGGCATCTGAAGACTTTATAATGATAATGAAATATAGATTTTCTGTTTGATCACATAGGCCACGATGTGTCTATGAGGCTTCCTTGAAGGAAAAGAGAAGTATCAGTGGTTTCTGCTCAAACATACACATGCACACAGAGAAAACATTACAAGGAAGAAGGGGTTATTATGCCAAAAGAGAAAGCAAAGGGGTTCTGTGGATCCACAGCATTAAAACTTATCAGAAAAGAAGAAATGCTCAAAGCAAATTAGAGAGTTATTTTGTGTATTACTATGAAATCATTTGAGAAATCTTCCATGTTATTTTATTATAATACATAATTTAATTTATCTCACCTGGTTTAAAAGTAATCAAACAGGAACGATTAGTACAAGTACCTTCTGGGAAAACTAGTATCTTGGGAGAAAAGGAATAGATTTAATATTTCAGTCTAATTAATAGATTATCTCTTTACTCACTGTCTTAAGACTTCACAAACAGCTAACAATGCTTAAAAAATAAAAATGAAATAAAAGGCTAACACTTGATTCTAATGAAAACCACAATCAGATTATTCAATTTTCCTCTAAAAGAAGTATAGTCTGAATATTAAGATAATCAGAAAATGGATTTAAGCTTTGAATAGAGAATACAGTTAACAAATGTTTCTTAATGATGATACTAATGATCTGAATAAACTTAAAAGCAAGTGTAGAGTGTAAGTCATGGTCAAGGTGTACACAAAGCATACATTAGGCTATATTAAATTCTTTCTTCGCTATACATGCTTAACCAAATAATTTCCTACTTTCTTTGTTTCAGTTTTCCCATTAAATGATATTCACTCCCACGACATATCGCTCAGGGATGTCTTGAAGACAAAGGAAGAAATGACTACAATGTGCTTTATGCTTATTTGAAATAGTTGACATAT